GAGCACTGTTAATAACTAATGACTGTTTTTATGGCTTTATCCTGTGGGATCATCAGTGAAGTGACAACCTCAACGAAAAACCCAGAGGTTTGGCTCCTCAGCTGTTCTTTCAAAACATGTTGCTGCTGCTGTTACAACATACCTGCTCCTCTTGTCAAAGGAAAGGTGCCCCCTCCACCTGGGTGAGGAAGCCATCTATGTGTGTCCTCAGGTTCTCAGCTCGCAACCCCTTTGGAACCTCTGTCCAGAGCCATTCCTGACACTGGGAAAGGGGAACTGCACAGCTCAGAGTTGCCTCCAGCACTGGGCAGGCTGGCAGCTCCAGGAGGCAGGTATCTCTCCCGGGGGATGAATGGCTGTCCTGGTCAGCCCAGGAGAGCCCAGCCTGCCTCAGGAATACAGCAGGGCAGTGGAAGCACACACAGAGAGTCCCGCTGGCACCCGCTGGCCCCACCACAGATGGCAGCTGGGCCCCAGGGAGTGACAGGCTCTTGATGGCAGCAGCACGTGTAGCATCTTCATGTGACATCCACAGGTGGGGTGGAGGGGAAAACAGTTTTTATCCGTTGCTATGGAGTCATGATTAGCTTGTATGTCTTCAGAGCCTGCCGAGGAGAAATGAAGGCTATTTTCTTATATAGATGTCATGAAATCAATCCTTGCAGAATTTCGGGAGTCAAAGGCTAAGCAGGTTTGCCTGAATACCTTCTGTCACTCAATACACAAATAAATCTAGCTGGGAGACCTAAAACCAGTGTCATTTTTCAGCCAGAGCTGATCACAAAAATTACTCTTTAGTCTCATTTGGAGCTGTTTCTGTGCACAGTAACGTACCAAACGTGTGTTCAATAAAACACAGCAATTATCTTCGCAGAAAATGAGCCTTAGAAAATTAAGGAAAAAACCACCCTTATTGCAAAGTACAGTGACTTCAGAAGAAACTTCTCTTATTCTCTCCAAACGCTAAAAGAAAACCTGATGTTCCTCTTTTAAAATGTGTCTGCCTCTAGGTCTTTGGCACAGGTTTGCTGATGGGAGGGCCGGCAATCTATTTAATGACTGCATTGACGTCAATAGCATAACTGAAATACTTACTAAGATGCATGAGTCCAACTTTCAGGGGGTGTGTGTTTGCAGGCAGGCGCAACACGCGAAACGGACTCTCGGCAGGAATGAACTCCCCCTGGAGAGCTGGGAAGGGCCTCGGGACTCCCCCCGCTGGCTCAGCTCCGCTAGCTTTTCCTGCAGGTAACTTTGGAAAGTTCACTTGGAAAAGCTTGGGAGATTTTTAATCTCCCAAGCAGCAAGAATCACTTCATCATTCAACAGCCCTCATTTCACTCAGTCACGTCATTAATCTGATTATCTATCTGATTTCTTTCACAGTTTTGTTTAGTTTGTGAATAATCTGCATCATCCTAGCACTGCATCCTTTAAAAATAATATTTGTGGGTGATAATATTTATGGGAGGGCTACAGCACCACCGAATTTGTTGTGCACACAACCAGTTACTCTTTAGCTCAGCTGCTCGGTAACGCGTGGTTCCTCTGCACTCTTATAAAAGCACAAAGCACCACATCTACTTGACTTTTACAATCGCTCTCAAAATCAAAAGGTCAAATCTTCAGCCAAACTCACAGCAGAACAACAGAATTTCAAAATGAATCCTCTATTTTGTGTGCCCAGAGCATTCTCTGCATGCCAAGCAGAGGGAGGATGGTGCAAGAGCACCAGCTCCATACTAATTACCTGGGATTTATAGATATTTGTAACCTAGAGCTGACTTTGATGCATGGGGCTTGCTAACGCCTACAAAAAGTTGGGGGTCTCATTAGCACAAGCACCAGCATTATCCAGTCTTTGTTTATGCTTTATACAAATGTTCGTGCACGAGTCTGTGTACATCTTACACCCACAGGAAAAATGAAAGAGTACAAGTTTTGAGGTCGTGTAAAGGCATGTGAGAAGTGCAGACAAACGTGCAGATGTACAGGAAAGCAGAGGCTAAGGCACAAGCAAGAAAAACATCAATCCTTTACTCCCATCCCCAGAGAGGAATTTTAACAAAGCTTTAATCCTGTGAGCCCTGGAAAGCCCATGTGTGACATATCCCAAAAATGCTACACCCCCCAAGCCTCGGACTGCACAGGGGGTGCAGGGTTTATTATATTGTTGGGTATATAATTAATTGTGAGGACAGACTATAATTACTCTGTGCTGAGAGTGTCCAAGGGGCACTGCCTGCTGCTGAGAAGAGTCTCTGCCAACCCCTCATTTATGTGCCACCTCTCCCTCGTGTGCCTGGTCATCCAAGAGGCTTCTCAGTCCCAGCTGTATCATGACTAGGACAGTGCTTTCTCCACAGCCTCTGTGACAGGGAGGAGGGGGCTCAGGTACCTCAGTGGCCAAGGTGAGGTGATAGCATGAGGAGCCTGTACTAGTCCAGGTGAAAACCAGTTACACAACCACTGTCAAGCCAAGGAAACAGCACCGATCCTGTGCTGAGCTGAGAGAAAGAACGGGGTAAAGTACGAAAAAGTCCTGGAAATAAAACAAAGGGAAAAAACCAGATGGGGAAAAGTTTGTACCAAAAAGGCTGGAAGAATGGGAGTCTTAGACTGAAGGTGACAGCCAGTGAAAGATGATTTCATTCAGAGGGAAGATGGGTCAGTGACGTAAATAAATGTGGAAGAAAGAACAAAATTAAGTAGGAATGGCCAGACTTGTGCTGGTTAAAGATGTTATTAGTTGAATCCGTTGGATGGGAACTGCAGACCTTTCAGTGATGCCAGGGGAGGGGAGAGCTGAACCAAGAAGAGAAGGTGCTGATGGATTTGCTGAGCCTAAGGTAGCACAGAATCACAGAATCACAGAATATGCTGAGTTGGAAGGGACACACAAGGATCATCAAGTCCAACCCTCAGCCCTGCACAGAACCATCCCCAAGAGTCACACCACGTGCTCCAGAGGATCATCCAAACACTGCTTGAGCTCTGTCAGCCTTGGTGCTGTGACCACTGCCCTGGGGAGCCTGTTCAGTGCCCAACCACCCTCTGGGGGAAGAACCTTTTCCTAAGCTGCCCTGACACAACTTCAGGCTATTCCCTTGGGCTCTGTTACTGGTCCCCACAGAGCAGAGATCAGTGCCTACCCCTCCTGTTCCCCTCCCAAGGAAGTTGTAACTGCAGAGAGGTCTCCTCTCAAGGTCAATGAACGTAACTGTGGCAGAGGTGGCATTTAAAAGAAACAAAGGGGGAATAGGAGAAAGAAATTGTCACAGACACTTCTGTGACGATGTGTTTGCACGATTGTTTCTGTAGCACTCGTTCATGACCCTGGCCCTGCACAGCTACACTCCATGATGTTACACCCCACAGTATTCCCATTATCCTCTTGTGTGGAGTTCACCAGCTAATTAAGGATTTAGCTACAGTTCCATATTTCCGTGTTATGGATTCTCGGTTAATTCATAAAAGCCATTTTGCTCATTCCTGTGATCTGCACTTATAACAAAATAACAGGAAAAATCTGCCAGATTTACTTCAGCTGATACCAAGGACAAAACACAGGATGTTCAATATATATTCCTCTTCCTTCTCTGGCTGTGGTTACAAGGTTAAGAAAGCGCTGAAGTTCACAGTGACACCAGTAGTGGTTTTCAAGGCACTTTGTCCCATGAAAGACCTGGCCAGAAGTTTTCACACTTTCAAGAAAATGAAAGCATAAAAGAAAAGGAATTTCCTCATTTCTCCACAGCTCATTTATTTCACCATGGGCCTGGGTCCTCAGTGATGTAACACCAGCAACATATTTGGCTGCTCTTGGTTTGAAACAACGGACAAATCCTGAAATATTCCAGCGTGAGTAAACAGCTGGCATGTATTCCTTGCAGTGCAAATGCTGGATGTAATTTGTCTCCCTCCAGGGTAATTTTATTAATGCAGGCTTGTTTGCTTTAAACCCCAAGTTCTGCTCTTCTCAGAACAGGATATAAATCACTCCACTAATGACAAATAAAAGGAGACATATATGAGGTGCTCACAGTGATGTCAATGCATTGTGGTAAATCCATGAATCAATGTGGGACATGAGAGAGCTAAAATAAAATTCCAAGCTTTGCCGACTAACCGACCTAGAGAATACAAACCCATTTCTTTCCAAAACACATTCTTTTATCTAGAGGGATGTAACGCAGCCTGGTCCCAATCAAAACACGACTGCTTCCTTCTGCAAAGCTTTCAGGAAAAACTCTGCATCCTTTCAGCCACAGGAGCCATTGGTACTGAACTGGAAGTGTTCAGATAGGAAAATCTCTTCTTCTGTTCATAATTTCCAAATCAGAAGCCATCAAGGGAAAAAAAAGCTGAAAACACTGAAAAAAAAATATCTCTAAAAATCTCTGTTCTTGCTGCATTTAAATGGAAACTTCCTTCGAAAGTAAAGTGTTATGATTGCTAATAATGTCAATATTGACTGCTTTCATGTAGGAAATAACACAATTTCCCATCAATCTCAAAAACGTTTCTTCTTCCTACCTACAAAGTGCCACAATTTAATTAGTTTGTAATGATACAACTGACCTTTTTTTTTCCTTCTTTCATGGGAAGACTTCATCTAAAAGCAGTTAAGATTGATAGTTAAGAACCCACTTACTTGAGGGCCCAGGAATCCAGCCTTTGCAGGGCAACAGAAAACTTGCTCTAAAATTATGTGTATCAAACCTTCAAGCCCCAAAGGAACTTTCATGTGTTCTCAGTATTAGAAGCTTGGGTCAGCTAAGAAGTAACAAGCATCATACTCATGTTGGAAATACTGTAGAAAAATGTCCCAAAAGTGTTAAAAAATTTGAAAGCAATTTTTTCCACAGAAAGTGCTAAGAAAATTAACCTAAAAATTCCTGGAAGGGCATTCTCTCCCTTTTATTATATTCTGTAACTTATATAAACAGAGCTGTGGAAAGTTTATGAAATTTTCCATTATTTTTTTTCACATGTGCACAAAATCAAAGTCTTGCTAAAAGCAACTTCAAATAAGGTGATAAATTGCATTCCTGCTAGTTCTGACTCCACACTGTTCACAGACAGGGAGTGAAGGAGAAGTTTAAGATCATGTTGTCCAGTTCTGTTTCTACATCAGAGGTTTCCACATCCCATTAACAAGTTTGGTGGAACCTAATCTGGAAGTCTCCAGGACTCTACATGTCCCCTGAGAATAAATAATACACAGCATGAGAGGAAATGATAGTTATCCAGGCTTCACACGCTGTAAAAATTAAGGTTGATTAGTCCCTCCAAGCACATAATTATTGGAAAGGCTGAGATTAAACCTTACAGATGGGCACTGGTCCAAATCTTATCTCCCTCTTTGTGGGAACAACCTTTGAATTAGCGCAAGAAGGGCCAGCTCTGATCCTAAGTGGGGTCCCTCAGACCCTCAGCACTGCATGGCTAAACCAGGTGTTAAAATAAAGAAGCCTGTCCTAAGTCATCAGCAGCTACTTCTGCTCCTCATTCTCAGTACTCCACCCTGCCTGAGCAGCCCTCACACCGCTGCCCACCCCACCCTGCCTTGGTGCTGAGCCCCTTCGGGAGTCCCATGGTCATCCAGGAGGAAGCAGAGGAAGTTTCCCCTCAGAAAGGTTTTTGGGGATTGCCATTTTTACACAGATCACATGGAAACAAACTGAAATAAACAGGATAAAAAAAAACCCAAACCAAAAACCAGCTGTGTCTGAGCCTGTTCAAGGCTTGTAGGCTGGGGCTTGTCCAGGCTTGTGCACACAGGGACTCAGAACAGCAGTCACTGTGGCCATGACTATCAAACCAAAATCATGTTCATCTCCTAAGCTAATATACAAGGATAAACCCCAAACCAAACTATTAAACTAACAATATTTTGAACCTGACGGGTCTCTCATATTGGTTTTGCAGGATTAACCCAGAAGAAGCTCTGTGAGCCCAGAATTGCACCAGGGGAGGGGGCAGAGAAGCAGCTGGGAGTAAAACTGTGCAGTATGTGTAGTCTGCATTTGGCAGGTGATTTGCAGGTGATTCTCGAAGTCCCACACGTACCTTGCAGGTTAACCCTGGACACAGGTGGCTGACTGGTGGCTGGAGATCTCCTAGGAGAGATAGAGAATACTCTGTCAATAGGTATTATTTTATCATTCCAAACTCTGCTGGTAGTTCTGTCTACTCCCCCTGTTAAAAATCCTTTTTTCACTCTCACAAAGAAGCCCAAAACACTTTACGATGACTTGTTGAGCACTATGGGCAGACCTGTTAGGAAAACCCAAAGATGTATGTCCCCTGGCTAGGCACACACACATGCTGGAAATGTGCCATCATCCCATGCTGCCTTTGCCACTTTCTGCTCAAAATACACCTGGAAGTCAGCAAGGGCCTGTCTCTGTGGCTGAAAGGGTCAGTGGCTTCCCCAGGGTCAAGGCCTTCTCCCAGAAAGCTTTTCCCTACAGAGACTGGAATGGATCCTGAAGTAATATGGAATTGTAAGGCAATGCCGTAGGTAAGGTCAGAAGTGTGTCTTTAAACCCTGCAGGTAACGTTTGAATTGCTCCTGAAGTAAAAAGATGCTGCAGTCACCAGTGTTAAGCTCTGAAACAGCTGAAGGACATTTTTTTCACTGGGAGCAAAAATTTCATCAGCAAAGCCTGGATTTCAGAAGGACCAAAATCTATTTGAAAAACTGGTTCAAGTCAAGAGGGTCTGAGTGGAAAAAGGTGCAGTATCTCTCCAAATGTCAACATAGTTCCCTGTGAGATTTGCCAAATAAAGCTGTTACTTTTTCAAGTTGAAACCATCATCAGAGACTTCTTTTTTAAAGGAGTTAAAAAGAGTTGACACCAAAATCAAGATACTTCAGTTTAGATTGAAGGCAGTACTTCAGGCTGACCAAAAATGAAACTTTGGGCTTCTGCTTCCCTAAGAAGTTTCAGATACATTTTAACTGCAGCCAGATTTCCCCACACTCTCTTTGCCAGCCTCCTAACCCCAATTTTTTGAGTCAGCCACTGAACTGAACATCCATTATTCGCCAGTTCTCCTTTGAAGCTAAAATCAAAGGAGGCGAGCGGCTCAATTCTGCTGCAATTGTAGCTCCGGGGGGTTCTTCAGAAGTGCTCCAGGAAGGCCTTGCTGCCCAGGTGAGATCTCTGGTTCCACCCTTGATCCTGGCCTCTGGACCCACCAGCAGTGTGGGGCTGGCCGGCCTCCACAACCTGCTCCCACCACCAGGCTCCCTGGGATTTCAAAGGCTTGGCTGTTCTGGAGGGATGTGCAGGACCCAGATTCTTCGAAGGGTTCAGCACAGGGCACACAGTTCTCTGAAAATCTGCCCTGACCTGCCTCTGCTGAGCCTTTGAAAAGGCAAATCTTGAAATCTCTCAAAAACAGAAACTCCCCAATAGGGACACGATGCCGCGGCTGCAGCGCTTCCAGTATCGGGGGAGATGTGCTCCAGGTATCTCCAAACCCTGAGCTGCACAGACATGCCTTTGGGGGGGCGGGGAGGCATGAACTGCTAGTCAGGAGGGTATTCCCCGCTCCAAAGCCTGGAAAGGGAACAACTGCTCCCGGCATCCTCCAGTTTATGGCCGTGCCCATCCTGTTTTTGTGGCAACCAGGGCGCAGGCAACAGAGACCCAGAGATGTGGCTTTCAACAGCAACATCTCTTCCTGGCCATCACTCCGCTCAAGTGTTCACAGCTCCCCCTTCCCGCTCCTTCCCTCTTGCCGGTGGGCATGAAGAGCAGGCGCCGGATGCTTTCTGACCATGTCCTGGGCCACAACTGCCAAACTCCAGCACTCCAAACCCATTAATCATACTCTCCTCTTTTCCAATCAGGAAACTGCCTTAAGAATCCTGACGTTTAAGTCCAAAAAATACGACTGCTGGTTGTTTTTTTTTCCTCCAGCCCTTAACATTCATATTTTCCAGCAAATATGTAGGACAGCATCCTCTTTTTTCTTTCTCAGGCCAGAATGGGTGGAGGAGGAGGAGGAAAAAAGAGGGGAGAGGAAGGGTTAAAGAAAAGCTGAGATTCTCATGATCCCCAGTGCAGAAGTTTAAGTAAAATATCACATATCATGAGACATATGATAAAATCATGAGCTGACAGCATGGCTGTGACCCAGCAGAGCTGTTTGGAAACTGTGCGGGAAGCTCCTCAGCGCCTGGAAGCACATTCTGCCACAGATTTGGATGTTTGGCATATAATGGTTTAAACATTTAGCGACTTTTACTTTGGCTGGGCAAACGACTTTATACCTCAATCAAATCTGGGAATGTTTTCAAAAGGACACTGTAAGATGCCTGTGTGTCCTACAGGTTACGCCCTCGCTTCCTTCCGGCCCCGTCCAATTTCAGATTCCTCATTAGGAACTGCTGAAATGCTCGAGCTGTTCAAAAAAGCAAAGCTTAAAAAAAAAAAAGAGGAATCTATTTCAGCCATCTGTTTTTCTATTAACCTCCATCTTGGAATGCGGTGGTTCCTTCCCATCAAATTTGCAAACAGAAATCAACAGGAGGAAAGCCTGGATAAAATGCTGGGCTTTATGTAAAATACAATACTGAGTTGGAAGGGAGAATGCAGAGCTCATAGAGGGCATCCAGGTGATGCCACTCACACCTGCAACAGTGAAGCAAGACCGTGGTGTCCCCCTGGAATGGATTTTTGCACCTCATCCTTTGCTTCTGGAGCCAGCAGGATGCTTGGAGTGAGCAGCGCCTGCCAGTCTCAGGGTGGGATAAATGGGATGGGTGGGTGTGCAGGCAACATTGCCAGGAATGAATGATGTTGGTTTCACGCAAAACAGCTCTCTTGGGGCAAAACAGGCCAGAAGATGATGATGACTGGCTCAGTATAAATAGGTAAGGGGAAACAGTGGTTCCGGACAAAGGCATAAAAAAGGGTTTGTTTGGTTTCTCCTGTTCAGCAGGTACAAAACCCAACATTCTTCTCTGAGAGCATCACCTTCCCCACTCAGAGCAAAGGAAGTGATGTGGGATCCTGGCTGTAGGTGGCACAGGCCAGTTCCCTGGGCAGCCCCCGTGGAGCCGAGCTGCAGGACAATGCTGCCTGCCCTGCCAGAAAATTCTTGCTGTCCCCAGAGCCTTATGCATGGGGTCTTCATCCTTGGCATCTGCCATGAACAACTCCCTTGTGAATCAGTGGTGGAAATGCAGGGCAGGACCATGGCTTGACTGAACAGCAATGATGTCTCTGCTCTTAGCTGGGCACCTGTGGAACACTTGGCACAGCCAAGGTGGCAAAGTGAGGAAGATCATGGAATTGTTTAGGTTGGAAGAGACCTCTAAGATCACCAGGTCCCACCTAGCATTGCCAAGGCCACCATTAAACCATATCCCCAAGAGCCACATCCACACGTCTTTTAAATTCCCCCAGGGACAGGGACTCCACCACTGCCGTGGGCAGCTGTGCCAGGGCTGGACAAAACTTTATGTGAAGAAATTCTTCCTGATATTAAAATAAACCTCTCCTGGCACACCTTGAGGCCATTTCCCCCTGACCTGTCCCTTGTTCCCTGGGAGTAGAGCCCGACCCCCACCTAGCTTCACCCTCCTCTCAGGGAGTTGCAGAGAGTGAGAAGGTCCCCCCTGAGCCTCCTTTCCTCCAGGCTGAGCCCCTCCAGCCCTCTCAGCCACTCCTGGTGCTCCAGACCCTTCCTCAGCTCCGTTCCCTTCTCTGGACACGCTCCAGCCCCTCATTGTCTTTTTTTGTGGTGAGGGGGGGAGGCTAAAAATGAACCCGAGGTTGGAGGTGCACATCAGACAGAGCACACAAGCCGAAACACTTCACTCCCTGCTCGGGGAGGAGGTGAGGACTGTGAGGGGCTGAGGGACAGACGCCATGAGGGGCTGAGGGGATGGACGCCCCTAGGGGAGAGGACATGGCGCCCCCTGGCGTCCTGCGCAAACCGCGGCGGGCGAGCCGGGCGGGGGCGATGGAGGAGCCCTCAGGCACAGCGTTCCCCGGCCCCGCCCGGCCCCCCCGGCTCCTCCTCCGGGAGAACTTAAGGGAACTTAAAAAGGGAACTTAAAAAGCCAGGCTTACTTGTTGGAGGTGCCGTGTAAATTGGTGAGGAGCGTGAAGTTGTTCCTCACGCTTCTTAGGCTGGCCAGCACCTGAGGGAGACAAAACCACAGGCATCACCTTCTCCACTTTAGTGCTTTAAAAACAATTTTAGAGACCAATACGCCACCAACTCACCTGGGCGAAAGGTGTGACAATCAGGTCGTCGCCGTGCCTAATAAAAAAATGGAGAAATTGTATAAATTGATGTATAAATTTACCCTCAAAAAGAGCAAAATTCACCTCCGGGAATGAGTGTTTTCCTCATGCCACAAAAACACACGAACCCACGCAGCGTTTATTTAACACCACATAAAACGTTGCTCCTAATGGAAAGGTCACAGTGTATATCCAAAACAACCCGGCTGGAGCGAGTGTTCGGATTGGGAACACCAGGCAATAAAAGCCAGGAAATTCAAAAGTTAAGGCTCTCGCTTGCACCGTGGTGGAAAAAAAACCATAATGGTGTGGGGAAAGGTCACCTTTGAATTTCCTGGCTTTTGTTGATCTCTGTCGCAGCCTTTAATGTTATTCAGACGCCGGGTTTTGTCTGAATGTTTTCATCATGGAAGATTTGAGCAGAAGTTCTGAGCAAAATATATCACTACCATTGATAAGAGAGAATTTTTTTTGGTGATATTATATATAGTACTTGTGTATGTATGGAAAATCCAGTATGATTTACCTATCTGAGCGATGGTGGGGTACAGAATAACCAAATCATGGAATGATTTGGGTTGGAAGGGACCTTAAAGCCCATCCAGTCCCACCCCCTGCCATGGGCAGGGACATCTTAAACTATACCAGGTTACTCCAAGCTGGCCTTGGACACTTCCAGGAATGGGGCAGACACAGCTTCTCTGGGTAACCTGTGCCAGGGCCTCCCCACCCTCACAGGGAAGAATTCCTTCCCACTGTTCCGTCTAGCTCTGCCCTCTGGCAGTGGGAAGCCATTCCCCCTTGTCCTGTCACTCCTTGTCAGGCAATGCTGAGTGGGACCTGGTGATCTTAGAGGTCTCTTCCAACCTAAACAAGGGGCTCTCTTGGAGCCCCTTTAGATATTGGAAGGGGCTCTGAGGTCTTCCTGAAGCAATGTTGTAACCAATTATGTGATTAATCCCATAGAACAACAGGATCCCCCCCCCGAACAAGGGCAGAACAGGCTGCAGGCTGCCATGGGTACCTCTGGAGATGTGTCCACCACTGCTTGACTCCTCCGAAGGAGTATTGTCCCTGCCTGTGCTGCCACAGAGCTCATCCCCTGTCAGTATCAGTGCTGCTAAGTCTACATTTTAATTAAAATTGTCTCAACACTAGTGTCAATATCAAGTTGGTGTGGGGGTGCTGGTTTCCCCAAGTGCTGCTGGAGCCTCGATGCCTGCGGGGAATGGATAACTTGACTAAAGGGAGCCATGAGTTTGGGAGAAATGATGGGATTCCCCCACCCCAGCACACTGCTGGGAACACGGGGCAATTGTTTAAATCCACCGTTTACACCAAACATGGTATTTGCATAATCTGGAGTGGTTACTTTGGTAAACATTTACTACATGTTAACTCACAGCAGGGATATTCTCTTTCAGGAGAATTCTCATGGATCTTGCTAATATTTAGTTCTCCATTTTGTGACAGAACTCTAAGGGCTTTTTCGCAACAGCTCAACTTTTTTTATGAGCACCTTTTTTGTAGCTTAATGGTCACTTTAAAACTTTAAACTGGGCCTTTCAAAATAAAGAGCTGCAAATCCAGGGCACTCATTTAAGCTCCAGGCTCTGTGTGTATTGATCCTCTTGAGCTCAGCCATCTGTCTTGGCTCATTTTGTGCTCAGTTCTAGCAAGCAGCTGCTAACACTAAACAGGATGGGGAAGAGCTATACTGTAAATATAAGTACAGTACAACTTCTCTGTTATTTCAGGATATGGATTTGAAAGTTCTTCTGCTAAATTATGGAGAAAATGGGAATGTTTTAAGGATGGGATGGGAGGAGGGTGTTGGATGTGCCTTGGCAGACTGTAAAACCACCCATCTTGGGTGCTCTGGCTGTGAAATATGAGTGTACCACCCATAAGTCCTCTTAACAAAGCTCTGAGGATTATAGGAGCCACATAAAGTTCTTAGTGAGCCGAATTTCTGCTTACTGTTCACTTGGGAGAGAAGAGTTCCTGGACATGGTCTTTGGTGATAAGTCGTAGTCGCTGTCGGATCTGTACAGGAACGACTCCCGGCGCTGGCTGTGGCCTGGGAATGTCGTGTGCAATACGAGTCCTGACGAGGAGCTGGCCTGCGGGTCCAGCGGGCTGCGACCTGGGGACGGGCCATTTTCCACATCGAAGCTGTGAACAAAGCACATACTGTGTGTCACACATCTGCCAAAACAGGTGTTTCAGTGCCTGTGTTACATTTGCATTGCTCACACCATGTCATTTGCTCAGTACAGGAGATGCAGGGCTGCATTTACTGCAGCCTCTCGCTGGCATGTTTCTATTGTATCAAGCCAGACTCTGCATGACAATAAAACATTTACACTGGAAGGCTCTTTCCTGGCTGCATCTGCTCAGGCTTCCTTTGGCCTGAATTTCTCTCAGCTCAGCACAGCTTCTGTGGCTCTCAGCATGAACACACAGCGGCTGAAGAGGGCAGAGTTAGGTTAGAGATTAGGGAGAAATTCCTCCCTGTGAGGGTGGTGAGGCCCTGGCACAGGTTGCCCAGAGAAGCTGTGGCTGCCCCATCCCTGGAAGTGTCCAAGGCCAGGTTGGACAAGGCTTGGAGCAACCTGGTCTAGTGGAAGGTGTTCCTGCCCATGGCAGGGGGGTGTAACGAGATGAGCTTCCAACCAAACCATTCCAGAATTCCATTATTCTAAACAACATCACCAATCTCTGAAGCTCTCCACACTCCACCCTCATGGATGTTTGCACAAGTCAGGGGGTTCCATCTGCCAAATCTCACTCCAAGCCTTACAAGCATAACAGGCACTAAAGACACTACAACACGACACCCCTCCTCCAGCCCAGCCCTGTCCCATCCACTCTGGAACAAACTTTTGAAATCTTGCAAAGTTGGCAAGAACTTGGCAGTTGTGTGAGATGGATGCCCAAGTCTCTTCCCAGCCACAGCTCACGTTTTAGCCATTCAAGGTATTAGTTCAGTGAATTTTAAACAGTTGGGATTAAAAATAAATTAAAAAGAAAAACTCCAAACCTCCCGTCACCGTTTCCATTATACACCCACTTTCTTAAGGTTTCATAACTTGGCTGCTGTAATCTGTGGTTGAAATCACCCTGGATACTTGAACAAGTGACACCCCTCGTAAACCCTGAAAATAAGCAGGTTGGCCTCCTTTGCTTGGGCATTTGGACCTGATATAAATACCAGATGTGTGACCATGCCCCAGTGAAGCCAAATGAAATAAGGCTGCATTCAGGATGAATTTTCTTGCCTTTGGAACTTTGAGGCTTCACCTCACTTAGAGTGAGAGCTCAGTTCTCGCTTCTCAATGCCACATACCACTCCCCATTCCTAATGTTCTCCAATTTATTGCTCCTGCTGGGCCCTGGCTATGATACCAAGCTGTGGTCCCTGCCATGAATTTCTCCATCCCTCCCCACTGCTGCCTCCTCCAGTGCTTTAATCTAGAAGATCTCCTCAGCACAGTGGCAGGGAAGGCCCTGGCTCTCCCTCTGCTCTGCAGCTCTGCTTTAACTGCTGCAGGAGGAGCAGATAAAGTATTAGCTTAAAAAAAATATTAGTATTAAAAAATAACAACCGACGACAGCAATGACAGACCAGTTCTGCTGGAGGTTACTCTGCTCCTTGTGGTTGCAAACAGATGGTGACTACTTTGGTCTCGTGCTATTTGGTCCCACATGTGGTTCCTCCAGAATTAAGAAATGCATGAGAACATGCATTTAAGTAATGCAATTAAAAAATGCATGAGCACACCGGCAAGGATTTTTAGATCCTTTGGAAATGCAAAGGTAGGACACCAGTGCAACACAGTACACATTGAAGAGATTCCTACATCCACCACCCCTCACTGGAGTGTTTACTTACCCAGCTGCTGAAGTGCATCTTGAAACTGGTAATGGCTCAATTAATGTTCTTTGCTTTTACTCTTTGTTATCTGCCCTTTTACCAAAGGCAGGCTGAGTACTTTATTTGTACCCACAGAGTACTCAACAGAAGAAACTCAGCCCTGTAACTATGGCATCTACAAACAACAGCCAGATAACAATTATTCCATACCTATTCAGAAAATTAACTCTGATTACTCAAAACATTGTTGCAAAACCACCATTTGGGAACATTCAGTTTACTGACACAAATGGAAATTCAGCTCTGAACTAAATGTGAGAATTTAGCCAAGCAGAGCTTCTACTGGATGTTTGATACCTGCTGCTCACTGGTGGGCATCAGCAACTGGCTTGGGAGAAAAAGTCCACAATTTAGAGGTTTAAAAAGTGTGTAAGAGGTGAAGATGGGAGGCAGGGAGCAAGGCTGATGAGGGATCTTTGCAAAGACAACTACTCTGCAGCAAAGTAAGTTTAGGAAGAGGGGAGCACGGCCTCTGTGCCTTGAGATAGGTGGAAGATACTCAAAACCTCTTCTCTTTCCCTCCATTAACATAAAAACAAGCTCTTTGCTAGCCTAGGCCTATCCTGAGTCACACTTACAGAAAGTCCCACCTAAGTCACAGGGATTTTCAATATCTTTGGAGGGCATGAACACTTTAGTAGCTGGAGGCATAGGGAGGACCCTGTTGCTCTGTGACCTGGGTCAAAGGCACAGCTCCATCTCCTTTTTCCTTCTGCATTTTCAAATAAACCAGGATGTTAACGAGTTGAAGAGGAAAGGAGGTGACAGCAGGTGGCAGGAGTTAGCTGCAGCTGGCTCTGACAGCCAGCGAGGGGACACTGGCCTTGGACATGGGGAAAGCTGTGACTGAGACACAGTGATGAACAGTGAACACGGTAATGAACGGTAATGAACAGACACACAATGGCGAGCCAGGAGAAATCACTGCAAAACACAGCGAGGTTTTTCCTGAGTCACTCTGCAAAACAAAGGAAATTAATAAAAGCAACCCCCAACTGTCCAAATTCTGCAGTTTTACTGTAACAGTTACAATATCATAGAATCATGGAATATCCTGAGCTTGGAGGAACCCAGAGGGATCATCCAGTCCAACTCCTGGCCCTGCACAGGACACCCCAACAATCCCAGCCTGTCCCTGAGAGTGGTGTCCAAACACTCCTTGAGCTCTGTCAGCCTTGGTGCTGTGACCACTGCCCTGAGGAGCCTGTTCAGTGCCCAACCACTCTCTGAGGGAAGAAGCTTTTCCTAAGATCCAGCCTAACCCTCTCTTGACACAACTTCAGGCCATTCCCTCTGGTCCTGTCACTGGTCACTAGAGAGAATAAATCAGTGCTGCCCCTTTACTTCCCCTTGACAGGAAGCCGCAGCTCCTCATGAGGTCTCCCCTCACTCTCCTCCAGGATGAACAAGCCAAGTGCCCTCAGCTGTTCCTCTCATGGCTTCCCCTCCAGACCCTTCACCAGCATCGGGAACATACTGTCTCTGGATTACCATTGCCCATGAGTAGTCTTGGAATGTGGCAAAATTTGGCAAAAAGATTGCAAAATAGGATTGTGCTGTGATCTGGATGTAATTCAGAGTCATTTGAACAATCATTGCAAGTCAAATGATTTCCACGAGAGCTGTGCAACCCCACAGTTTGCTCTGTAGTATGAAACACAAACACATTTCAGCCCATCAGACAAGGCAGGCTTGTGGTTTTCTTGTTTATGTTGAGAATCGACACTTTTCCTGCAGATGACAGCACTGACTCTCCAAGAGGGCTCACCATCTGCTTTGCCTTCCCAGACTCATTCCTGAGGACATTACTCCCAATCTTGTAACTACAGTACCACCCTTACGATGGTCTCAAATAGGTTTCCAAAATACAGAGGTTTGGGCAGACTCTGATAATTATAAAGATCCTCTCACAATCACTGGAGCCTTGTATGTCACCAAGACATCCACCAGGATTCTTATCACCATTAGCAATGAAAAATGCTGTTCCTTACACCTCGGACTTACGCAGGCATGACTGCTTGGCCCTGCTATGTAATGCTGTGCCCCTGTTCCCCATTATGAGAACAGCTTGCTGCTTTTTCTAAATAATCTTCCACGTGGAAAGGCCTGTGCTTGAAACCATCGGCACTTAATAAAGTAGGGTTGGACACATCATTGGCATGCTGGAGCCTGGCACAGGTACAGGGCTCCCCAGGTCTCAGTGACCTGCTTCCCCTCCTGAGCTTCTCCCATCGAGGGGAAAACCTTGTTGCTCTCAAGAGCCACTCAAAAGTGCTCAAATCCCTCTGCTAGGTTTGTCCATCATGTTGTTCCTAACGTTTTTATCCAGGTGAGACCCCACCTGCAATGCTGCCTCCAGCTCTGAGGAACAACACCAGAAAGATGTGGAGCTGCTGGAGCGAGTCCAGAGGAGGCCACAGAGATGCTCCCTGGGCTGGAGCCCCTCTGCTCTGGAGACAGGCTGGGAGAGCTGGGGGTGTTCACCTGGAGAAGGTTCCAGGGAGACCTTAGACCCTCTTCCAGTGCCTAAAGGGGCTCCAAGAGAGCTGGAGAGGGACTTTGGACAAGGGCCTGGAGGGACAGGACAAAGGGGAATGGCTTCCCACTGCCAGAGGGCAGGGTTAGATGGGATATTGGGAAGGAATCCTTCCCTGTGAGGGTGGGGAGGCCCTGGCACAGGTTACTCAGAGAAGCTGTGGCTGCCCCATCCCTGGAAGTGTCTAAGGCCAGGCTGGATGGGGCTTGGAGCAATCTGGGATAGTGGAAGGTGTCCCTGCCCATGGCAGGGGGTGGAATGAGTTGATCTTTAAGGGCCCTTCCAACCCAAACCACTCTGGGATTCTGTGATCTCCAGAGCATGAACCCCTGAGTCGCCCAACGTAGAGCCACCAGCCCCCTGCAGCCCCTCCCCAGCACTGTATCACAGCTGTCTGGCACAGAACACAGCAGAGCTTCTGAAGTGTTTGTAACATAAACTGTCATCCGCTGCTAAACATGTAATTAAGCCTCTGCATGTATCAAAAAGCAAAAGTATATGTTTACTTGACTTTGTAATCTCCAAATATAAAAGTTCAAGGCCAGGTTGGACAGGGCTTGGAGCAATCCAGTCTACTGGAAGGTGTCCCTGCCCATGGCAGGGGGGTGGAATGAGGTGGTTTTTAAGGTCTCTTCCAAATAAAACCATTCTGTGATTCTATGGTCCACTTTTTCTAGCAGCTCCCCTGTTCAGTGCATATAA